ATATCACAAATATGTTGTCACCCTAACCACTATTTACATGAAGGTTAGGTTTCACCACGCCTTAAAAACATCTAAGTTTTGAAAGCTGTCCTGGTATTGTGTTTTTTGTCCGTATGGTTAACCACGTGTATCACAACAAGATCTCCACGGAATCACTTGTTTATATTCATGTTTTAATTGTGTATTTTATGATTGACAAACATGCTGGTATGTACGCCTGTTTTATAAACTTCAGTGAAAATATTCAATACTTAATGTGTTTTTTTTTCGTGTGTTTCTGGATATAGCACTTATTCCTGTAGTATGTTAATTTGTAGTGGTATCGTAGGGATTTATATTAGGACTGACAAACTTCGTAAAATATTTACCTTTAAATGTGGCAACACATATATATTCACAAAATCTTGAACAATACACGAATATTAGACTATTTCACCCGTCAATATGACCTCATATCAAACAGAAAAAAATTCCTAACTGTAAGCTACAAGTTCCCAAGCATGTCATAAAGTGTGTGGTTAAATATAAGGCTTAACTATTACTTTCAAATCAGCCGCCAGGTGGCAAGATTCGAATTTCATTATGATTCTACAAAGCCGACGAAATATTGGAAACCGAATAGGTCTACAAATTGTTACAAAAAGTAGTTAACTGCACGGTTTTATTTCTCTTCGCATTCCTCTTAATTTGCTGATCTGATTTCGAACCTCAAAGGACAAATAAAAGAAATAAGAAAAAAAAATCTACAATTCACTTGTAACGCGAGTAAAATTATTAATAATTACGCTTCAATTACATAATTTATTTGTCATCATAACAGTTGTTATTCATGAAAGTATAGAAGAATATGTTATTATAATTCAACCACACTAAATCTGTTATATTCAGCGCCGACGAGGCCTTTCGCCTAATACCAGACCACATCAAGCTGGCTGGAATTCGACAAATATCATTAGCTTTTATGGGCAACTCCTGTTGGTGTCGAGTACTTTGAGAGAGTAAATTGCAATTATTATCTTTTGTTATTTACGTCATTTACAAATCTGACTTTTAGGGTAAATTTCAGATTATTATATTCGGTTATTTATTTTTTATTATTATAATTTTAATTCAGTTAACTTTACTATAATCCAGAAGAACTGGTGAACCAACAAGGTAGTCTTCTATTGATAACAATTAAGGTATCTACAAGTTATATCGAGGGTCATGATAAATCTCGACCTGAAACCAAGCAAACGAGCCCAGTCATTTATTGAGATCTTGGATACAATTACAGGCAATAATGTGATAAAAAAAGGTTCAACAGTGCGTTATAAGGTGTAACACGTGATCTTTATGGAATTCTTTATTTTTTAAAAAGTACTAATGAGAGAAATGTCTAAATACGCTGCATACACGTGAGAAATAATCTAATTTTCGTTGTTTGCAGCATCAGCGTTGTTCCTGTTCTACTGTTGTATTTAATACCGTCTAGTTCGATGTTTATATCCATTGTTGTTTGGAACATCAGCGTTGTTCCTGTTCTACTGTTGTATTTAATACCGTCTAGTTCGATGTTTATATCCATTGTTGTTTGGAACATCAGCGTTGTTCCTGTTCTACTGTTGTATTTAATACCGTCTAGTCCGGTGGTAGTTCGATGTTAATTCATTATTGTAAAAGGAGAATTATAATTTTAACCTGAGCGGCTAAACGGCTATGTCAGAGACCTCTAGAGGCCAGATATAGCTGTTCCTGATTTTGAACTACTGACCAGAGGCCAGAGGAGAAAGTAGCTAACCAGCACTCACTGCTTGAAAAGTTATCCGGCTCTTTAAACCGAGTAACAGGATTGAATGTCAGCTGTCTCGAACCTTGGACCGTTCCCGCTAAATACCAGGCTACGAAGTAAAAGTCAGGGAAGGATAATCAAGAATACAATGGACAGTGTTTTAATTACCGATTACAACTTATAACGAAACATCATAATATACACAAACGTCGCGCAACTTATTAATACTACAGCATACACATAATATAATTATCAGTGCGAATACAATCTAAAATATATTGTTAGAAAAATATCTACTGTAAACAGCACCATTGTTTCAGTTTCAAGGTTAAAATTGTTAATTGCACCATTAAACAGTTTATCTCACATTCTCCACGGTTTGACATCTTTCATAAAATGATGAGCGTCTTAACATTAAGTTGACAACAATTAATAAAAACAACAATATTTTGGGTCTACTCAACACTGATATCTTTCTAACAATTGTATCATTACAAACCATAAGAATACAGCATGACAACCGACGTTTTACATAAAACGATATGTCTATCCTGTATTTTCAAGAACAAACAAGTTTAGAGAAGCCTAAATATAGATGATACGGTTTAACTCACGCCTTCACAAATATGCCTTTTCTTGACTATATTGGGTAAATATGTTAATTAATCATATGAGTTATACGGTGTACATAATCAACTTGCAACATACTGTTG